AAAGAACGTTATGTTTTGCTAGGTTTATCTAGCATGATCAGGTGGATACAACTGAAAAGTGGAGAAAATTAAAGTTATATTCATGGATAAAATAAGTATGTTTTAAAGAACGTTATGTTTTGCTAGGTTTATCTAGCATGATCAGGTGGATACAACTGAAAAGTGGGAGAAAACTGGTGTTGCATTATCAACAGCAATACTTCACTAACAATGCAATAAAGGCAAGTCAAACACAATTTTAAAGATGGTAACCTTACATTGGATAAACCTGTGAACAAGTGTCTACAAGATTAAAAGAACATTCAAAAGCTCCCTTTCTTTGTGTTTGAGCATATGGCTCAAAATAATCAATTTTTATCTTTTCATATGTTAAAACCATTGATAGAGAAAATGATATAAACAGAGAAAAAATTAAATAAGCTTTCTTTGTTAAAACAAAAAACTAGCATTAACCAGTATTCAAGTGTAAAATTATATTTGTTTTAATTTTTCCCTATTTAACAATTGTGTTTGAATTTGCTCTTCTTTTATTGCTAAGTAATGAAGCATTGTTGCTGATACTATGTGTACCAGTTTTGTGCTGTTTTTTAAATACATTTACCTGATAATGCTAGGTAAACCTAGTGAAACATAGTGTTTTTAAAAAATAAAATAAAAAATATATATGTAAAAATGTGATTACCTGTCTTATCTGTAAATAAAACTTTATCTTAAGAGTTTCTAAATACTAACCTTTGCCAGCCAGTCAGAGCAATACCTCGAATACACTTGAAAGCTGTAAAAAGTTCTGTTGCCAGCAGCTGCAGCCATGCTTGATGGTTTAATAGATGGTAGCTAGGTGGTGTTAACAACTGTGTCATGTCTGTTGCACCTTTAAAAGCACTAGCAATCCATATATTTGGAAAGATGGAGGCATACTTCTCCCAGAAAGCTGTAGTCATGTAAAAAGTATTTATTTCAATTTTGTGTGTAAATGTTGCCAAATTTTGGTTGCCTTAAAAAAACAAATCATTGCGATAAAGTATTTTTGTTTTTAGTTAAAGTACATTTTCAGTTTTCTTTACATGTTCATTTATAAATTGTACATTAAAATTTCAAGCATCATTTGTTTGTTCTGTAAATATTGTCTTAACTTTTTTCATTGCAAAGAAACTTCACTACATATTTACAATGAAATTAATATTTTTTAAATCAGTGCCTCTAAATTCTTTACCTTCTTTGAAATAGCCTGGAAAAAAATCTAGTAATTTTCATCATTCATACTGAAAATACTGGCAAATACCACCATATAGTAATATTTGAAAAGTGAGATGATAAGGATTATTGAAAATTATGTTGTATAACAAACTTATGTAGAAGAATTCTATACATACGTAAATCAAAATTGGAATCAAATAAGTACTCAAAAGTATAACAAAAACATGAAAAAACTATCATTTTCTTACACTGAAAATAGATTTATGAAAGATACTTCCCATCACATAACAATTTTTTCAATCTCCTACTGTCCTCTAAACCATCGGAAAGAAATTTATATCACTTGACACAAAAGACTTTATAATCCATACGTTCAAATTGCTCATTTAGCACGCAAAAACCCTCCACCAATAGGAGCATGACATGTACCTCACTTTCCAGATTAGGCACACAAGAAAAAATAACACAGGAAGGGTGGGAAGTAAGTGAACAAAGGTATGGATCTATCACATATATATTTTCAGTGTAAGAAAATGATAAATTCCAATATGATACACACTTCCACATAACAGCTATAATCCCACATTGAATAGGTGGAGGGACCAGTGTAATATAGAGAATCAAACATGGGTGCTTCGTAATAGAGGGGAAGCACATCTGTGGGGAAACCACACTACATCTGGAACAGGTATGCTCTTTGCCCTCGAAAAAGAGGAGTGTCATGAAATGGGAAGCATCAAGGCCAGAACTATTAAAAAGTAAAGTCCTCAGAAAACAAAAGAACAGCATATATCTGACCCCAACCATACAGCAGAAGTTCCACGTCCCATCCTCGGTATTATGAGGTGGAGCACTGCCCAGAATAACAATAGTAGTATTGTAGCCAGGACAAGCAGACCATGAATAATATATACCCCAACCATAGTGCTATACTCCAAGCAACTGGAATTATGATTAGGAAGTAACCCAAGGGTAACCTCCAGGCAAACTTCCAAATCAACCGTAGGAGAAAGAAAGAACAACAAACTGAACCCAGAATTAATGAGCTGTATCTAAGCCTCAACCCTACCATAAAAACAGGGAGTCAACCTGAACCCGGTATTATAAGCAGGAAAAGAACGACCTCAACTTAATTATAAAAGCAAGGAAGAAAACCCTTGCACCCAGCATTACAAGGACAATGTGGAGTTTCTGCTCAACCATAAGAAAAGGGCATCATACGTTCCACAACCACTATTATGAAGCGGACAAAGTCCCCTGAGCTCAGCCATGGAAGCAAGTAAATAAAAACAAACTGCAACCAGAATTACTGAAGTGGGTACATCTACTAGCCTCAACCAGAACAGGGCACTATCTATCTGAACCCAGTACTACAAAGAGGATTCAGCATTGGCTGGTCCAGCTTCCACCTACATCAGCACCTCTGGGAAAAAAAACTCCAGGAGGGAGGAGGGGGGTCCCAGCTTTGCCCTCTTCTCAACTGAGTGTAGTGATACATAGTGTTATAACATGTGGTCGACACTCACAAGGAAGCATCCATGGTCCATTGCCCCAGCAGCTATGAATTGGGAAGTGGCAAGAACTCCCAAACTCCACTCAATTAAGGGAGGAGTAAAAGGCAGTGGGGAGTCCAGTGAAACGTCACAGCTGAGAAAGTGCAATGGATGACCACAAAACCTATTTTGAAAAGCAGACAATCCTCATTTATTAAACTGAAAGAACGGCAGGGATGGGCAGCAATCCCCTTCTGCTTTACTCATAAGTGACGGTCCACCAAGTACTTAACAGAATATTACATTCGGAGAAATAATATACCACTAGGTAAGCCAATAGTTATCTTGTGGAACACCCCATTTCAATAGTGTGCATTATAACCATAGAGGTATCTGATGCATACCAGACCAGGCAAAATGCCACTGAGCAGGATCCAAGTAGTTATCAATGAAAAAGGAGGCCCCTGGAATAAAACAAAATAGGAAAAGATACTTATCCAAGTTAAAGTTGAACTGTTGTATGTATAATTGGTGTGGGTAATGGGAGACAAAAGTATGGGTAGTAGTCCACATTTCTGCCTGGAAAATCTCCACCAGAAAACGACTAAAACAAGCAGCTAGAGACAGAGATATGGCAAATCTGATGAGAGGAGACACAATAAAAACAACACCCTTCCAAGGAGAGAGAAGAGTAAGTCAACTGAATAAGCTGATGAACCCAACCCATAAGTCTGATGAACCCAACCCATTTCAATTATTATACATAATATATGTATAAATTATTGCTACTTTGAAATAAATTCTTAAACTTATTTTTCTTATGCTTAATAAAGCTTATTAATAGCTTAATAAAATTTTTAATGTAAGTCATTAAAACCTCGTGACATGCTCAGTAAATGATGTCTTGGCAGAGAAGTTTAATGCAACAAGGTCAGACCTATAACAACCGTAAGCCAGGAGGAGAAGGAAGTATGTTTTGTGGGAAAGATGATACAGGAAACATGAGCCCAAATATTCAAAGGGCGGGTGATAAAAGGCAAAAAGGATGACATGGAGATCCCATTCTAGCAGAAGTAACGCACAGCAAGGATGATTAATCTGAAAGGACAGGAACAGTAGGGAAAGGACAGGAGAAGAGAAGACCCAGTAGAATCTAGTAAAATGAAATGTGTTTGACAAGGCTGCTCTGTAATCAGAAACTGTCAAAAATGAAAGACCCTGATCGAACGGCTAGGTGAAGAACTTGGAAAAGGTGAGAAACAGCATGACAGGAGGGGCAGAGTCCATTTCTGAAAGACCAACAATGAAAAGTAGACCAATGTTGCTGATAAACTGACACAGTTCAAGGTTTGACTGAGAAGGAAAGGAAAGAAGCAACACATGGTGTCAGACCCTGCCTTCTTGTAAGAGGCGTAATAAAAGCCACACATGAAACTGGAAGGTGGGATTGGTGAGATGGAAGATGTCCAAATGAGATTGAAGAAAGAGAGATCGAAACAGAGATAGAGGCAGAGAAGAAAACATCTGGAGAGGCCCTAGGAGAGGGAACCACGGCTGAGCCAGCCAAAACAGACACAACAAGAGGATGCAACACAGAGTTGTGTGGATGATGCAGATAACTTTGGGGAGGAGATGTATAGGAGGGAAGGCATAAATGTGAAGGCCCCTCCAATCCTTACTGAAGGTATCCACACCTAAAGCTGCAGGATGGGGAACTGCAGATCAGAAAGACAGCAATTTGTTGTTCAGATGAGTGGCAAAAGCATCTATGTGCGGGGTACCCAGATGAGAGCATAGACACCGAAAACCCTAAAGATCTAGGGATCACTCCTTGGGATGGGCCTTGTGTGGACACAATAAGTAATCCACAACAAAGTTCAAAGCACCAGGAATAAGGCAAGCCAAGAGCTGTATCCAAATATGAGCTCCAGAGTCCAATAACAAAGGGACCTGGATTTGGTACCCCCTTGTTTGGTGATGGAGTTGTCAGAATGCACCGTAACTAACTTCCCCCTCAAAAGATGGAGGAAATGAGACAGCCTGACAAACAACCAAGAGCTCCAACACGTTGATATGAAGCCCAGATTTGACCAATGACCAAGTCCTAGAAATTCCTGAGAATAGAAATATGCATTCCAACCCACAAAGGAATTATGCAACCTGGCCACATCAACAAAGGATTCCAATACTGTGTCATGCACAAATGGAGACATTTGTAAGTCTCTGAGGGAAGATGAGGGAGGTGCACCCCCCACAAGCAGCATGTCTCTTCCCACAATTCCCAACAACAATGCAGCCAGGTATGTAGGAAAAGGGCCAATGAAGATAGTCTGGCCAATGTCAACCACAAAAGTGATCTGAGCTTCCCCAAACATTTGCCGGAAGAATAACAAAAGACATATGACAAAAGGTGCATAGAGGAGAGGTAATGGAAAATATTAGTAAGGGTACAATGAATCCTCAAAAACAAAACAGAAGCCTCAGGAGTCAAACCCCAGAGGGGTAAAAGCGGATTTAACCTTTGTGAATCCAAATAAGGGCTCGAAAAGATGAAATAACAAAGCGAGTTGGTCTGAAACATGAGGAGGGGGGGTCAAGGCATATGAACTCCTGAACTTAACTGAAAGAAAACTGCTGAGCATGAACCTTATTGTCCGGTGAAGGAGGAAACAACAAATAGTCCAAATTAGGGAGCTCACACATAAAAGAAGGAGAGGCATCATAGGAAACAGGAGAAACATTCAAAATGTGACAAATCTGTGCAATGAATTGGGGGAAAGGAGTAGAAGGACAAAACGTTTTGACGGAAGCCTGAATTGGAGGTACAGCAAATGAAGGAGCAGGAAATATACTGTCTGAATTATTCTCACCCTGAATATGCTCATCACCTGGAAGTGGTGCCAACTCACGTGAGGAAAAAGAAGGCCCAGGTCCCATGTAGGAAGCTAACTCCCAACAAGCCAAGGCTTGAACCTTCTTGTCAAACAAAGTCAATCCCAAGGCCTGGGTAACCAGCTTGTGAGAGTCTCCAGAAACATCATAGCCATAGTGGTATTCACGGTAAATCGCATATTCATAATTCACAAAAATAGTGAAAAATGACAGATCCAGACACTTGAAAATGTAAGAATTATCATAGCAAACTTAAAATTAGTTTGGCTATTGCAAAATACGAATAACACAGTGTGTTAAAAACCGAAAGCAAGTGAGAAACACATCCAACTCGTAGTGTGCAATCGAGAAAGTGAAGTACACATAAAATAATACAGAGGGAATCAGCTGCTCTAGGAGGGTGTGTCATGCTCCTATTGGTGGAGGGTTGTCGCAAGTTAAATAAGCATCTTGAACTTATGGGGTATAAAGGCTAGTGCATCAAGCAAGAACAATTTCTTTTTAATGCATTAGAGGGCAGTAGAAGATTGAGCATAGCTGTTATGTGAGAGAATGTATTATCATATTGGAAACATCTATGTACTGTTTAGATAGAAATTTTCAGTCTAGCAAAATTGATAAAAGCAACACTAACTGTTATCATATTATCATGAAGAATAGCACTATGAATATGATGATTAAATCTAGAAAATATAGATACTGAAAATAAAGGTAATAAAACATTTATTGGCATGATAATGCTATATTGACAATTACATCAAAATCTTCATATGAAAACAGAAATACAAACATTTGCCAAGACGAAACTCATCTGGTGGAAGATAGTGCCACACCATGGGTTCTACAAATTTTGCAATTTCTGACTCTGTGGACAGTTGGAAGAGAAAATAACAATAAGTTGATATCTAACACTACGAAACTAATTTTAGGAAAAAAAAACTGAAATTTCCTGACTTTATTTTAAAGTTATTAAACAAAAATCCCAACTTTTGTACATTTCATTTAGCATTCAGTGAGCAAATTATCTCAATTATTACAGCTTTTACAATGCAAGGTTTCAGAAAATTTTACTATGTCTGCAATGGGGTATCTTGGAACTACTGCTGCACAAGAACAACACAGAAAAACAATCAGTCCCTCAAGTTTAGCCATGTTTGATATCACATCTCATTTCAATAACACATGTACATGCATGATGGTAGATTATCAAAATAAATGTTTTCCATCAACTATGATATAATTATAAGATTTGTTTGAAGGAAAAAATATAAAAAGAGTACTTTTACGTATTTCAGCAGTCCGTAACATAAATATTGAAATGTTCTCTAGTCATACTTCTCGATATTTTCCTGTATATTTCCACTTATAGAGACATTACTTTCCAAATATGATCTATAAACCTCTCTATGTGTTTGTTAATTTTAAAGTGATTAGTTACTAAGAAAAATATTATTATTGGAGTTATATATATACTATAAAAAACAATTAACACCCACCTTTCAGAGGTACACACATATACATATATAAGCATTTATAATAAAGTAACACATTTTGTCATGTCATTAGAAGTATGCTGTCCATTCCAATTGTGAATGAGGCCATGAATATCAAAAGCAGGTCAGAAAATGGTTTTTCTATACTACCATCTGGCAGCAAGTATGTCAATAATATACCTCATTAGAAAGAAATACAAAATATCCACTTATTTTTGTATTTTATGGAAAATTCTATAAAAGTACTGTCTTTAGTTGAAAAAAAAATTAGTTGTTCATACACATCTCTGTTTACTTTCACATAATTTATTTCCTCCAAAAAAGATGCTAAACTTGCCATCTTTATGATAATTTATAAAGAGCATGGTCAAAACACACAAACAGTACTTATATAACAAAAAAAAACAATATGCGATCTGTTCATTTTATTACTGCATTTTTTTTCATATCAATTTATACATGCAGACACTTGTTGTTTTTTTGCAAAATGTAGCACAATATACCTAATCAATAATTAAGATCAAGACAATGATGGAAAACATTCATTAAATCTCTGTTTATGAGAAACAATGTTATGAATGTTTTTTTTAGTATATAAACAGTAATCAAAACTGTTTAAACAGTTGTTACTCTAGGTTATGTTACACATGTTTAGGAACAACACAAACAAGAGCTCCTGAAAGATGTTCACCTCATCAACAGGGGGCAAAAAATGCACATAAGATTTGAAGATAATACATTTAGAAATTCTTATATTTACATGTAAGTTGATCTTAACTAATGGGATTTGTCACTGGAAAAGTTACAAACATTTCAGAGTTTTTCTATGCATTATTAAAGTGTATGTTAATTAGAAAATTTACAACATCTTATTAGTAAACCACAATAAAAGTTTGTGACTTTGTTTCTTTTCAAGTTTAAAATGCTTATGATTGAAGAATATAAAACAAGCGTGAATACAGCTAGATGTATTTGTAACTCGAAAAGTATACTAATTTCTCATTACTCTATGGGTGTTATCAAAACTCAGAGTTTCTAAATTGGTTCATTGCAGACTTAAAATATGTTTTCACACACAATACAATTTAATTTCTTAAAGCTTGCAAAAATCCCAATAAGTTAAGCTAGTTTCAAAGATTCTACACTTTACACAGCTAATTACAGTAAACTAAACAACAATTAAAACATTATATAAACTCCTATACTAACTAAGAATTTTAAATTAATATTAAATAACAGAACAAGAAGTACCTCGAATAACTTTTTCTTCTAAATGGCGCATCATGTCATCCCACATTATTAATCTAATATTAGGGTGGTGTTTTTGAAGATTTTGTACAACAGTGACCATGTGGTTTAAAAAGAGGTAACCTTTTGTCCATGCCATCTCTTTCATCTTTTCCTCACACCTGAGACATTCAGCAAGGTGCCAAACCTAATGAAGAAGCACTTGTTTAAAACACCTGTTACCATTTATATCAATATTTTATTAAGGCTTCTTTACAACAGCTTAAATTTAAGACTTTTACTCCTTTTTGTATCAATATGAATATTCTATTTCACATTTCTGCTGCCTGCCTTTCTTAAAAGTTGAACTTTGATTGAATTGTAAAAACAAACAACAACATATAAATCAGAAGAAATTGACTTCAAGAAATACTTTCAAACATCTACATAGCAGAAATTATTAAACAAGAGCCTTTAACATTAAAACTTATTTATGTGGTATTGTAAAACAATATTTTAACAGAATTATGAAGAAACCATCAGAATATCTTTTTGAACTCATAGATTTATGACTTGCTAAAGTATGCTACTAAGGAAAGCTATACACCTGAAATGAAATATACATTATCAATACATGTACATCATATGACTTTTTCATAAGTTATGAATAAAAACTAAATACACTGGCACACCATACTTTACCATTATCATTATCTTCACAGAGTGTTGAACACACCATCACTTGAGACTACTTACCACTATCACCACACCACACACAAACACACTAGCACCCAAAACTTCCCATGACATCACACACAAACACACTAGCACCCAAAACCTACCTACCACTATCACACACAAACACACTAGCACCCAAGACTTCCTACCACTATCATCACAATACAAAGGAATACACTGACACCCAAGACATGCTGCAATTTATATATATATTACAAGTATCATTTTAAAGAATACTAGGTATGTATCACTAAGCACAGTAGTACTTAGTATGTAGGGATGGGCCAGGAAAAAAAATATTACATATTATGTATTGCTCATCATAGTCTCTTATAACAATCTAAAAGATTTTTATAAACATCTAACTTAGGTTTTTGAGGTTTTCTAAAGGAACTAAGACATTCAGTTTAGCTAAGATAGAGAACAGGCAAGTAGCATAACATCCAAATGTTCTGCTGATAATTCTGATTCTGGCATCAGAAGGGCTAGCTCACCAAAGCTTGAAGTTGTTGAGATGCATTACAACTAAAATGTTACATTTTAACTTGGGAAGTGCAGAAGCAGTATAGCGTTTCACTAACTTCAACAACTGATGTCCATCAAAACAACTTACCACACCAGGCTAAAACTGCTGCCTTCATAACGACTGCCATTCATTATAAAATATTCATTGGTATTGTTTAAACAAAATGAGGGGAAACAAGTAATAATTTTTTTTTTTTTAAAATATGGATGATGTAGGGATGACAATGCCAAAAAATACAGAAACACAATACAGAGGAATATACAAAACTGCACAAAAATCCCTACCTAAGTAGCCACAAAGTCAATATCACAAGCTTATGGGAATTAGCCACTTCAAGACTTTATAGCATTATTCAGTATAAATGCTTTTACTAAAACCTGAATTCATGCAAATGAAAGGAATTCAGCACTTAGTTGTAGGCAAAAGTTATTCTTGAAAAGATTTGGCAACTTATGTAGGGATTTTTGTACGGGTTTGTGTATTCATCCCTATCTAGTTTCTGTTCTTTTTGGCATTGCCATCTCTACATCATCCTTATTTAAAAAGAAAAAAAAAATTAATACTTGTTTCTAAAACAATAACTAAATATATGCAGATAATGATGATACCCAGTAATGTGTGTGTAAAACATTCAGAATTGGCAGTTTTATCTCACCTCATCTGCTCCCAGATGGAGCCACTGTACATCAGGATGAAGTTCAAGAACTTGATTTAGTATTTGTAGAATAAGATTTGATGCATCTAATAAAATACAAAAGTTTTATGATCCTGATGCATTATTTACAAGATACATCTTTGCATTAAAACACTATTATATTTTCTACATTATTCAATACAAAATATGCCTAGTGCCAAGTAAACATATATTAAAACCTCACAGTACAATAGTTACAATTGAATATCAATTTTTGATGTATTTAGAATCCTATATAATTACCTACATTTTTGTTATTCATTAGTTACTTATTCATTAATAGTAATTAATTAAAAATTAGTTTTACCCTATGTTTCGACTGCTAATCTATTGTCATCATCACGGAAGCCCTGATAAGGACTGCATGTGGTGACAGTGTAATGGTCTAAAATAAATATGCCAATACAATCAGGGTTCAACAACAACAAAAAAGCAATTTATTCAATTGTAACAACACTTAGAAATAAATTCAACACTTACCAAAACACAGTTAATAAACACGTGCCTGGCCAGGACTTGACACTAATGTTAATGAACAATATATCATAAATATCAATATTATTTCAAATAATGGAATCAGGAAAAAAAAGAACCAAAAGAAAAAAACCTGATTCAAAAAAATACAGCAAACACAATATTCCAAAAATACCTTTCAATATTAATAACAATATCGAGTGATTAACAGAAATAATTCACTAACTATATCATGATTCTTTCTATAAGTGAAACTCCTGGCAGGGTATTTATTCATTGAGTAGGTCACAAGAGTACATCTTGTAATCATAAACTTACATAATCTTCTGCTATATTATAGTATCTGTACATCACTGCTAAGGAAGTTGGTGTTAGTTTCATCATAGACATATGAACTCAAAATACAACTGATTAGCTAGAAGGTGAGTTAGCATTTTGATGCAAGTAAAAAAATTCATAGATAAACTATATGATAGAAGGAAATAATAAATGATCAATAAACACAACCATAATCATAAAAGAAACTGAACTTGCTATCTCACAACAGGGGCTGTGGTTCAACCTTACTTCTCTTTGCTATAAAGATGCGTATTCTAGCTACAGATTAGCAGCCAAAACACAAGGTAAAAACTTTTAAGTAATTAATGACTACTGAGTAAAAATAATAATTAGTAATTAAAACTTTGGTAATAATATAAGCTATTAACTATGAAAATAAAACATGATATAAACACAGAATTTCTCTAACTAATTTATTTTATGTTTCCCAAAAATGAAAAGGACAACCTTTTCCAAAAACATAAATTCTCCTTTTAAGGATTATAAACTTCAAGGTATGTGAATGTTAAAAGATCACTAATTTCTGTAGTTTCATACAGTCACAAATGCAAATACCTAGATATAATCATTTCTTCTTGCTTAACCATAACAACATTACGACATTCAACAATTTTGAAATTACAAACTTTGGAATTTCATATTTTCAACCTCAATTAGACATTAGGTGAACCATGTAGCCAAGTTAGAGGATCAGACAGAACAGTTAACCTCATGGAGGGCATCCAGTCATCCGCAACTGCCAAAGAAAAACAATGGCTACTCTTACCCGAGTAGCAGCACTGACTGTCACAGTTATAATGCTCCCACACATGAAAGTACAGAGCATATTCAGTGGCACATTACAGCTAGACATTCCAAACTCCATCCCAAAACACTAACCACTAGGCTACACCTAGGTACAAGTTTACAGAATGGTAGATCCCAACTTGTAATGTATACATTGTACAACATTTATTAAATTCAATTGGGAATAAAAGTTTGTTTTTTGTGTGCTTTAATATCATAAAGATATAAATATTTACTATTTATTTTACCCACAGGACACAAGTAGAACAACATTCAAAATCATTAATGAAAAAGATTTCAATATATACTAAATCAGATTTGCATTTGATCAAAATTTTAGTCTTTATTTATTTATATATGATTATAAAAAAAAAAATTAAACTCTGTACCAGTTACCTCTATAATAATGGTGATTAGATTTATGGTTGAAAATAATTTTAGTTTAGACATTAAAAAAATAAAAGATTGAAACAATATTAAATCTAGAATTTAAACTGCACTAAAAAAATAAATATCTGGATGTTAAAATAATCAAAAAACAAATACTATTCATGTTATCTATTTTAATACAAATACTTTCTAATAAAAACACACCTAAGTTTGACTGCTGGCATATGTCAGTTACAAAGCTAATTCTAATGTTTTTCTGTTATGAAACCTTAAATGATTACAAACTTGAAAATTTACTTACTGGTATGAGACAAACACATTGCATTGGGAAACCTCTCTACTTCACGCATTTCACAAAATTTTTGATGCTTCAAAACAAACTGAAAAGTGAAAAAAGTTTTTATAGAAGATTGTTTCTCTACATTCTTCTCGTTTGAAAGAGATGGATATTACTATATCAATATAAAGTCCAAGGAATAAGCATATCAGATTATATACTAATAATTTTATTCTTTTAACTCTCTCAACACAGGCTCAGTCAACTTGACAGACAATGTGACCTCTTCGTAATCGTTTAATGTCTTTATAGTTTTGATACTACTATCTTTTAATATAGTAAGTATATCTTCACAAAATTTGGCACACTTTCAGTAAATATTATAAGCTTTTCACATACAAAAAAATCATATTTTACATTTGTGTAATCTCCAAAACCTTTTACATACATTTCAAAGGTTTGTTTCCAGTAAAATTTTATTTTTTATCTGTTATTTTTTCTACCCTAACTCTATACAAGGTTGGTCAAGTTGACCGACCTCATTACCACCTACAAAAAAACAAATTATATCTAAATTACTAATTTTTTTCTTTCTAGAATGCCTTCAAATTGTAACATGAAACTAAATTTGTTTATCCTATTTTCAAAATATTAAAACTTTTGTGGGTGATCCTGTGTGCTAACTATTTAACCTGGATTTATATTCCACTCATGGACCATGAACCCATTACTGAAGGTAAGTTACCTCTTCTTTCACCTTACATTGCCATTTTTGGAGATTCTATTATTACATACCTCCATCAACACATTTCTTACATTAACAACCAACATATTTTAATTAAATCAATTAGTGGAGCCACCTTAGTTGACTTTTTAGACACTATAACTTTACTACCATAGTATGTAAAATACTTAATTATTCACGTTGGAACTAATGACCTAAAATGACGGCTTATGACTGTTTTAACAACCTACAAACCTTACTGGTACATATTTTGACTAACCGTACTGACATTTGTGTTTGTTTCTCAAGCATCATCTACAGTAATGTCAATAGAAATTGATTTACCTCTAAGACAACAGACCGGTACTACTGACTCTTTAAACCAGAAAATTGATAAATTTAACACTCTCGCACATGACCTCTGTCAACATAACCCATGCCTATCCTTCCTTTACTACACCAGCTTTAAACTTGAAGACAGGACACATTACTTAGCAAACGATGGTTTACACCTCTCCTTCAAAGGAATTGCTTCACTATTCAGTAATTCTTTATCAATAACAAACAACCACTGAACAATCAAACCTAGATCCACCAAACTCTCTTAGTCATAAACCTTCAACCTACTTTATTCCCCATATGCAATCCACAAAGCTTCCTGAAGCCAAAGATCATACCTCTGTAGGCCACATGCCCAATACACTTTCAAATCCCATTTTTACCATTGCTTCTCCCAGAACTAGATGTGCCTATTCTTCTAAATGACGTACTTATGCAGAAGTTATGGCTTCCACCTCTGTTTCCAGAAACTTCTCCCTAAGCTCTAAACCTGACACACAATCCAAGAATCCCGCACCATTCACATACTCTGATACTACTGTAGGTCACACTTCTACATGTACAACACTTCTAAATGCAGTAATTATGGAGATTTTAATCACCACTTTTCACAACTTGACGATCTTCTAAATCTAACATACCCTGAACCTTCTCTATGTCACAAAGCAAAACCATGTGTTAATCTTGAAATAAACACTTCCTTCAACACGACTGCCCAAGTGCACTCTGATCTAAACTCTAGTAAGACTTTCAGACTACTCAGAAAATTGAATGAAAAAAGACTGAGGTACATGCACCATGCTGATATACTGGGACAACATTTACAGAATCAAACCATACCTAAATCCCTTAATTTAAATCCAACAGTTACAATAGGAGCTAACGACAAATTGTTTTATTCACAATGGAAGAAAATTCTTCATTCCACCTCACTTACAAAACTGACACAAGACTTCTGCAAATCCACAACTGACATCCTGGAAAAGTAAATTGCTGCTACAAATTTTGAGAACACAATATGTTCCACTGAACAACAAAAACTTGATGCATTTATTAACAAAACAATAAAGACTTTTGAAAATAATGTGAAAAGCAACAACAAAAAAATACATCATGATCTTTCACATAAGGACAAAGGTTTTCCCCATTAAAGCCACAATTTATGTTTACAACAAAATATTAACTTTAAACAAATTCATACTTGTGCTATCTGTGAGCTGCTGGTAAAAAACTCCAACAATGTAAACATATACATTGAGCTCTCTCTTAAAATATATCCTACTTCTGATTCCACTAACACAGTCATTTCTCCATCTGATCGACACAAATCCAAGAACACTTCCAATGTCATCAATCTGTCCTCTAAAACACTAACTGAAGCTCAACACAAACTTCTTAGTAAAGGTCTTAATTTGCACAAGAATTTGCATGCAAATTAAGACTTCAAGAATTTTTTCATAACCAAACCACTGAAATAAAAAATAATTTCTCACATTTTAAAGAAAAAATCCTTCTGGTCACCCCCAGCTAACAGGGAATCACATCTAGAGAGTTTTATTACTAAGCTTAGTCTACTTTCCTGTGATTTTTGTTACAAAAAAGGGAACCTTCATGAAGGTGCAATTCCAGTATCTTTCAAATATGTTCTAGATACATAAATACTGTTGTTGCTTTATAATTTGAATTACTAAGGCACAGTATCTAAGTTTTTTAACTTAATGTTGGTTTCTGTTCAAAAAACATCACCTAATTATAAGTTCAGTTGAACCAACAAGGCTGGGATGCTTAGAGATATATATCAAACTTTCTTGCTCCCAAAGGGCCTACAGAACAAATGCAAATGACAGAAATTACAGTTCTGGTTAACCTAAGAAACATCCATTATTTTTGAAAATGTTATCATTTCAAACTGTAAAAAATGCATTAAACATATTTTCTACTAACACAGCTTTTGTTAATTGTACAATATTTTAGACGTATACTTGTTATTACCTCCAGGTGACCAGATGTTTGTATCAAAGGAATGACCATCAAATCTTGTTCTTTTGCTAATGTCAGAATTCTTTTAATCTCATCTTTACTGAAAGAAAATAAAAATAACAAATGGCATACAAATAATATTTTATTATTCAAGTGATACATTAAAAATAAATATGACTATATTAGCACTGACAAGCAAAAGTAAATGTTTAATAACTTAAGCATTTTACAATTAATACATGTATTAATTTGAATTTTAAGACCTCATTGATTTTATCTCTTTCAGCATTTCTTCTTGTCTGAATAACTGAAACAGAAGGTTTATAAAATTTCATAACATAACTAACACCTAGTTTACCTGTAGGCTTCTGGTTTGGCTAAAACTTCAAGGTCTCCGTGGTATGGAAACATATCTTCATACTCGATCAAAAGACCTGTTGCTCCCAAAACACGAAGAAGTGGAAACAGCTACATAATAACAAGCAAAAAAAAATTTACTTTCTTAGCCACATATTTTATTCAAATAAAATTTACAAATTTATGTTATTCCAAGACTCCCAGTAGAGGAAACACACATATCTTAACAAAAACTAAGAGATTCATGAAACTATACAAAAGCATAAGTCCAGCAATTTGTTGAGTTTAAATAATAAAGAGACAAAACTTGGTGGAAAGCACAAATAAAAACAAACACACTTTAATAAGAATGGACAATTTATGATAATATAAAAATGGTTGTGACTGATTTTAGTGGCAATAGATATAGGATGAATAAATAGACTAACTGTAACTAGATAAAAAGGAACCACTGAATTTGTTAGAAAAATTAAAGTACAAAGGGTTAAGTATGCTATATTAAAACAATTCTGTAGCCTCACCACATCATTACAGTCCATGTTGCCACATCTGTTCATGCTCTGTCTGATGATTGTGCATTTTGACAATTTCTCTGCAAATTAATTTCTATTGTAAATGACTATAATGTCTAAAGTACACCAACCCCTGCATGGTTTCCATAACCCACCTAGTGTGTGAGAATAGCGGATTCTCATTATCTTTTTCAACAGTACAATTACAAAGAAAACCAAAGGTAGGGTGTCTGAAGTCTTAATCACTGTGTGTTTGTATGGAATAGCATTAATACTCATTTCATTCTCTAATTGCTTAAAGTACATGATGGTTTATTGGGAGGTATAAATGAAAGACTTACTATGTTTTATCCACACCCTGTGCCCTCATGTCCAAAAAGGAGATCTTTCTGGATTATGTTCCTTAATGTTGCCTGGGGCACGTAAAATATTTTGTCTACCAGGAATGGAGTAAGAATTGTTACAGGTCTCTTTCTGGATAGTCCTGGTTTCCCAAATTGATCCACATTCCCTTGTTTTCCAATGCCATTAAATAAAGGAAATTATAAATCCCCAATTTAAAACACCTTTGTGATCTTAATGTATGAATATTCTGTGTTGAAAAGGGCTATTACATACCCTTTACAATGTTTAGTGGCATCATACGACCTATTAAATGCCAAACTATGTCAAATTGTAGTTCTGATACATGCCATTCCATTGCAGCTTTATACTGACTATGGTTGCTATTTAACTTGCTGATCTGTATATTCAGAATAATTGTAATTTAATATACTCAACCTAGCATCTTAGCAGGAAAATAAAACTGGATTTGAAATGCTGAATAAAAACAGATTCAACAAAGAAATATGTGGTCAGCAGTAATTTACAAATTACTATACAAAAAAAACAAAAAACACAGAATTTCACAAGTTAGTCTTGGCTCTTTGAAAGCTGGAACAGTACTCCTTTAAAGTGCCAAGACTGCTTTCATAGTCCACACATTCTCTATAGCTGATCAGTAACAGTCAACTATAGAAATCTGAAAATACTATTGCTCCATGTGCCAGTCTCAGAATAATCTCACACTCATGATAATCTTGGATGCAATACAACTATCCCATTAAACAGCAGACAGCATCCTTGATCAATCCACACTATAAAGAGCATGACTCTGAGCTAAATAAGCATACGACTTAAAACTAGATTTACCTCGTTCTGAGCTAGAATGTTCAATCACAGAAATTTACATTTATACATTTCTATACTATATAAAAACCATGAGAAAATAAGATATATCTGCATATCACACATTTACATCATGGAGACAGTTGTCTAAATTATTCCTCAGCTGGGCCAAGAGAAAAATGCCAGTAAACACAACACAATCTACAAATATATAGAGTAATACCCTTTAGTGATTTTCAACAAACTGCGTAAATTGAAAAAAATGTTACTGAAAGTCACTTACCCGTTCATAATAGTCGACCTTAGGAGGAGCACCTTTCAAATCTAGATGTACTAAGCTATAAGTAAACACACAAAGACTTAATATCAAATACAAATGTTAAAAGACATTTTTGTGAGAGATACTAACATTTTTTTAAAGTAGTAAAAAAATATAATGATATCATTAGAGCACTATGTAAAAAATTCTGATTTTGATATTCAAAAGCGAGCAGATAAAAGTTTTAGTTTTATAGCTTTGCAGGGTGATGCAAAAGTCATGCCCCATAGGAATTGTGAATAAAAATAAACCAAAATCAATTACTTGTTTTGGTTTACTACAGTGTAAGTGTTTGAATTGCTGGCCATGAAATTTAAACCACTTAGAGTCAAAGTTTAAGGTCAGTAATTCTAACATTTACTTTAATAAACAGAAAGTAAGTACTTTTTGTTACAGTTATTCACAATCCCTTTAGGGCACACCTTTTGCTCCAAATATGTACATTATATTCCATGATAAAAGTAAACTTTCTGCATGTTTAAATTACAATGGCTACCCCAACCTAGAGTACTTTCAATTAAAATAAAACTGCTCATTAAAGAAAAATCTCCAGCATCCACTAAAACTTTAAATAATCATCTTATACTTTCATTAGGATTTATACTATAAAATAATATTTTTGAATTTTGTTCTTAATAGTTTTTATCATACTAAATGAGTAATGCCATTTACATGAATACTATAATCAACAATGAAAATTATAAGTTACAAGAAACAGCAATAAGCTGAAAAAAGTATCTTCAAAGTTCTAAACTTATTAAATTGAATATTAGTTATTTATCACTTAAAAAGAGCTTAATTACAATATATTTCTAAGGCAACCAAAATAACTTATTTAACTTTTGCTTTGAACTCCCCAATATTATTTTTCTTTATTTTTAATGAAGCAATGTTATTAAAGACTCTCTTAATCAATATAATCCAAAACAGTAACAACCCAAATTTCATTCATCATCTCTCAGCCATATGCTTCTCAAGATGTTACAAAAATTAAACACCTGACATGATCTTTACATTTGTGCTTTTAAATTTTTGAAATGGATGAGATATTTGGTCAACTCATGTTACAGATGACTAAACCTGACAAAGTGAATGAGAAAAATTCATTCTTTTAAAATAGTTTACATCTATATTATTTTTTCCACTGATGAGCCTTACACATATCTGGCAAATTTCTAACAGAAATATTTACAAACACAATATAATTTTTGTTAAACTTATTATTTTAAAAATACCTAATAGCCAGTTTCATCTACCCATCAACATCTTACCTTGCAAGATCACTGGAACTTTTAGCAACAATATCCATTTCCAAGTTTTATAGCCTGCTCTTCTGTTATGATAAACAGAATTAGATAGCAAAGAGTGACTACAAAAAAAAAAACACATAAAAGAATGTTTTAACATTCACAAATATATGTACAGGATACACAATAATACGTATATGCAAAAAACCATGAACCAGCTGAAGACTTGAAAATCTATTTCCTTACACTAGCTAGCTCAGTCACAACTAGAATTGAGAGATTAAGATTACCTATGATTAATCAAAATTATAATTAAATCTGTTAACGTCACAAAAATAATCAACTAATCAAATTTAGTGTTTCTGATTATTAAAACTATACAAGTAATCAAAATATTGCCATTATAGTTTCTCAAGTTAGTTTATATTAATCAATCAGTATCAGAACTTACAAAAACAAGTGTTGAATCAGCATTTTGCCAGTTCTAAATACTACATTATTGGCTGACTTTGCAATGAAATGTTGCTGTATACATAATAATGACTAATTTTAAACCCATGATAATATTATTCTCTATCTCTAACAAATGAAGTGGCACATGCTGTTAAGTTTATTGGCCTTTTGTACTGTGAAGACACAAATAAAGTATCTGTGTGCTTGATTGTCTAGATGTAGTTCTGTGCCCTCACTACGTGCCTGATCACCTTAGCATAGCTGTGTACATATACAGATTCATAAATTTGATCCCCAAAACTAAGCATACTAACTTATGTTAAACTGTACCAAAAACTAATCTCATAAGTCACTGTTATGCATTTTCTAATTTAACTCAGTATCACAAAGTAATGTTTATTTTCATGAATAAAATTTATACGTTTTAGTAGTTCTCTGAAAATTTGTAAGGCGATACTTTTAGTATGGTAATAACTCCTTAAACCACAGCAAACACTATCAGCGTGTGGCCAAAAATCCGGATTTAACCATCAGATGGTAACAGCATCCAATAACATTTGTCTCTTTGGCAGAAAACTAATCCAAACCATGTTATTATCCACCATTTATAAATATACCATAAGTACCATGAAGCATTGTTGTTTGTTTTGAAACAGATTTCAGATCAATGGCAGAATGTGCAAAATATTATGGGTTTAAAAAGAGTTAATTGTATCTTAAGCTTGTTACAGGTTCTGTAATACATTATAGGTAGGATGGCTCAAAAAAATTGTACCCATCCTTTAAATTATGCAACTTCTGTATATCAGTTCTAATAGTTTTATTTCTATTTAAGATAATACTGGAGGATGTCTAAAAATAATTTCAAAACCATTGACAAATTAAAGCAACAGATCAAAAATACTTTCCATTGAATCAGAGTTAAAAATTGTGTAACAGCATATCAGCCACTATGTTGTAGATGTCATAA